CTAGTCAGGATCCACTGGAGCTACTGCAGACCACTGGTCCCCAGCTGCAGGCAGCCTTGCTGGACTGTGCTTCATCATAAGATTGATGCCCAGTTCAGCCAGCGCCGGAAATCGCTGATTGATTACAGGCATAAGATCCTTCAGAGATCGCGTAAACATAGGTCACAGCCTACTTGAATGAAAAAAAAAATTCAAAAAAAATCGCGTGCCTGCGGCGCGTCCCCTGCTGCGCAGGGGAATAGCACGGTGAGGTATCCGAGGATTGTGTACGCCAGCCGCCGTCTTTCGTTTTGGGATCAATATATTGATCTCAATCTCGATGCCTGCTGAGGAATATTGGGCTCTGAAGACGTCAAACGGCTTGAGATTTCAGGAGAAACGCCAAGCAGGACATCGGTCAACGCCTGGACTTCCCATGTCTTCCAATGAATCTTGACGCTTTCCCGGCCCTTGGAGATCACGATTGGGAAGAACGCAATTGGAGATTAATGAATACGCCACCGGTGTAGGCAGAGTGGCAACGGCAACAAGGTCTGGACCGTCGTTCTAGTTTTAGGTGCAAATGCCAGTCGGTGGTGCTATGACCATACTGCCAAAACCGGCCTGGCGAACTCTCCATCAAGCCTACTGCCAAATACGGGTCGAACAATTCCATGAGAGGCCAGATGCGACCGTAGATCGGCCCCTAGCCGGGATTCTGAGATTTTGCCTCCTAGTTTCAGGTGATACGCAGCAATGTCCAAGGCCTGTGCAGCGTTTGCAAGACGTGGGTTCAACCTATTGGCAGTAGAAGAAGATCAGATATAATCGTTTTATTCATGTTATCATCGAGAATCTAGTCTCTACTTGTCTCCCAAACCAACAGTGACCTTTATAAAGTCAAGGCTTTGTAAATCTCAGTTTCCACTCTATCTGAACATTCACGGACTTGTGCGTCTACCACAGTAAATTTAGTTAGCCTGAGATTTTTTGCCTTTGGTCACCGTGACTCATTGGTGTACTTAGATAGCGAGAGCCGTCGCCGTCATCTGGCTGGGACGTATTGGCGCTGCTGCTGAGCTGTCAGGCTCAAAGAAGGGGGTTTGGTGATTCTGACTGTTTGTAACGCACAAAGGGAGCGGATGGACGAATATGATGGACAAAGATGATGGGTCGAGGTGGCGGATCAGGGTGGTGGTTCACGTGTGGGAAGGGTGGGAAAAGGGCCTTGTTATGTGTCCAGTTGCCGGGCGAAGCAAACAAAGTGGTGCGCGTAGAAGCCAACCTGGTGACAGCTGGCGACTGCCCCAAATCACCCTTCACAATCTCTCTCGCATTTCATCACCACTGGGGGAAGTTCTGTGCCCTCTCTCTCGGTGAAGCCATACAACTTCCCCCAGTGGACCAGCTGCCGACCACTTGCCCCATGTGCTACGGGGCGCGCCTTCCCCAGCACGAACTCGGCACGCCCAGGAAACAAAGACGCGTACGCGCCAGAGAGCAGAGAGGGGAAGCTTCCAACTCCATCCCCGTATTGTCCATCAAGCCGTGTCCCATCAAGTCCAACCCCAGCCTCAGCTCCTAGAGCATTGCACCATGTCCATCGCGCGGCAAGAGGGTGGTTTACGGCCAGGCTAATAGCTTGCGCCGCCCTAGAGCAGCCCAGTCTCGACAAGGCCCTTCCAGCATCTCCCCCAGGAGGAGTCGACTGAGTGAGTTGGCGCATTGTCTGCTGACGACCCACGCTTCCCGACCCCAGACCGACCACGAAGATGGCTTTTTCCAAGATTCCCTCCAAGATACTGGACATGTCCGGATGGCAGATGTGGAGGGTGTTGGATATGATGATCTGCCAGGTGCCGCTTCCAAGAGTGCTGCCAGTGGTAGGTGACAAACGGTTCTGGGCGCATCAATCATTAATACCATTGCCAACTCTTTCTTCATGCATCATCGGTCTATACGAATCCACTACCTACAGTATCCGACTTGCGGGCGATCGAACCATTTTACCAGCTAGCTTCGAGGTAATCTGAGCTCCGAGAGCTCATGTTATAACACGATGCCCAATTCATCCCGGGGCGCAGCATGATCCGGAGAATATGTATCGTGCGACACGTCTTCTGGGAGGATGTTTCAGTGACCCCAGCCCATCAATCTCGACAGACAATAAAGCCAACAAGACCTTTCCCGAATACAACGTGCCTCAACCACCCGAACCCGCGATTCTGTTTGTCTGGCGTGTGGTGAAGAAGGAAGACAGCGGTGTCACCATCGTTCCCTCGTGCCATACGCACCCGATCCGAGCTAAGCTTTAGCTTTGCAAAGTGTGGCCGTGAGCAGTGGAGCAAGAGCAAGACACAAGGCATTTCATGTCCATTCGTGCTATTCATAGATGGATTTGGACTCCATCGTAACTCCTATCGCTCTCTGATCGGGGTATGTGTGATCCCTGCTGGTTTGAATGATAAAGATCGGCAACCGCTATGCCAACATTATACCACTGATATTCGGCCTCCTGATTTAAACTTTGACAGCATTGTCGATGCTTTGGGGTGCTTGGAGGCCTCGATAAGAGTGCTGTGATCGAAGAAGGATAGGAAACAGGCATCCTTGATGTCCCATTCATCTGCTACCTTGGCGACACCTCACATGCCTTGGCAAGATAAAACCTCTGGCTTTCGCGGTCCCAAGGCCCTCGAGTTCTGTCGCCAGTATCGTGTTGGTCAGCAAGCCGTTCAGTCGGGCGACCGATTGTAGTCCTTGATTTTGACATCCTCGCCCACGGTCGCTATCATCATCGGACAATCCGCATGCCAGAACACAGATGGGCATCACCAAGATGACTGTTTGCAGGCAAGGCTTTCGGTCCCATTAGGATTTCAGCGAGGATCGCCCGTCGTTGCTTGCTTGATCTTACACCAGCACTAGATGCTACGCACTCGGGATTCAATAGCATGACAGAGTTGATGTATGCCCTTCTCCTCGACATTGTAACCCCAGCTACCCAGAAGGAACATACTGATCAACTTCGGGCATAGCTATTATCGCCGGATTCGGAACGCCCCCAGTCGCCGATTCACCAATTGCTGAGCTATTCTCTAGCAGCCCATGTCCGTTGGCTATAATCGTGCCGACAATGCTGCGCGCGTGGCTTCAATCGAAACACATCCATCAACTCTTCATGAAAACAGCCAAGGGAGATATCAGAAGTGATGATCAAGTCATGAACTCGGTTATCAGGGCATTGGCCAAGCTTGCAAGTAGCAACAGCGTGCTGGGCCTCACTGTCACCAGGGAAGAAGGAGGCAGAATTAGTTGATTGTTCTTGACACTCGGCAGCCCAAGAAGGGCACACTATTATAACCATGATACAAGGCGCCCGAAGATCCGTATCCATTGCGCAAGTATCGCGGACGAGTACGCATTATCCGTCAACATGAACATACTGCTTGGCGAGACCCAGCACCGGGAAAGTCGTGTACTATCTTCCCACTTACTTCCTCTTCGCTCAGTTACGTAAATGCATCAGATGGTTCAAGATCAAAGTCCGCGAGTCAAACCACCCCAAGCCTGAAGAGGTGTTGCTCGATAAGGTCAGGATGGAGATGATGATAAGACTGTTCCTCCGCAAAAGATTCTTCTGGTTTGATGCGGAGCTTACTCGCATGAGGCAAACTGACCATATTCTCCCTCGCTCTGACAAGCGTGATCTCAACGAAGTTGACGCAGAATCTACAACGAGATGGACATCGCTGTTGAGTTGGGTATCGCACATCGCCGCATCGCCACAATTAACGAGACTCCTGCCAGCAAGGTCCGGGCGGACCTCCATGAAGTGAATGGGGTATCTCCCCTTACCGAACAGGCACTCTGATCTATCCGATTCTTTCATGGGAAAAAAAAATCCTTCTCCGAGCCTATGTCGTCGATTATGATCGGGATTAAATTTCTCAATTCGGCTCTTCTTGCATCCAATGCCCTAACAAAGTTTGGTTTCACCGACTAGTAAGTGGGAATCTCTGCGACAGGCGAGACTGATACTGACAGCTGCACACCCCCCACAGGGCCCTTCATCGATTTATTTTCGAATCAAACGAGGCGGCCATGTCATATACCGCAAGACCCGTTGATGCTGGCAAGTCATCATATGGGTAGGCAAAGCTGATGAAGCCGGGGGGCTGTAGCTGTTGCTCGCATTCACCCGGATCGCGGCGGATATGATCAAAACTACCTGCTCGAGGCTCTATTGATTGTATTCATGAGGCTCATAGCATACGCGCGTACAAAGCGCACTTACTCGCCACAGTACGAAACATCTTCCTTACAACACCATAAAATATCACAAAACGCCTTCCCCGTAGGCTCGCGATAGCGTCATCGAAGACAGGATGGCCCGGGGCAAATTTTCTGTCGACTAGTCGCCGATCGTTTGAGATTTCAGCAGTCAATAATCATCGATGTATCGAGTAGCCTACCGTCAATTAAATAGGCAAAGCTAGAAGCTGCGCCCAACCCCTGGAGGGGCCGGTCAACACCTTCTCTTTTTCACCTTTGCCTTTTAACATCCAGATGGGCCGCGTCGGCGGAACCTTCATCCATGAACTCGAGGGCGAGAGGCGCATCTTCATTATTCTGATGACAGTCAAGGTAATGGTTGAGGAGGGCCAATTCCGACTGCCCAAAGTATCCCACGCCAAAGCCATCATCGTTGGCCTCATTGCCATCCTTGACAGCAAGCTGTATCGTTCCTGCCGATGATGAGACCACCGTGTGACTGAAATAGCAGATCGAGTGGCTTTAAGCCGAGTGAGCCATTCTCTCTCCTCTTGCCTCCCCTCTGTCCCCTCCCCTCACTTCCTCTGCTGTTAACTCTTCGACAGGTTCATGCCTATTCGGCCGGCCTGGGATGGGGTCGGACCGCGTCTGTTGTACCCAGTGGACCGGCCCTACCTCATCTTCCTCCTGGAATGAGCCCGGACCGCGTGTCGAGGGAGCTTGTTGACTTTGACCGACCTATGGCTGCTTCTAATCTGAGATACATATTTGCCAATGCCATACCTCGCGAAGAAGAGGGCCGCTGGAGACTTCCTCGGTGACTCCAACCCCTTCGTCCCATGATGCATAAAACTGAAAAGTGGTGTCATCTGTTGGCAATTTCTCCGTTGTGGGGAAGGGTTATGATCCAAACAAAGTCGAGTAATACAGTATTGCCAACTTAAAATGGACGCAATTTCTATCCCGAGGGAGAGGGTCGCGTGTACGGCTCTGTCTCATCTCATGCCTGGAATGAGGTCAGATTCGGTGAGTTGAGCGTGGCCGTTTCTAATGCAAGAGAATTCGCTGACGCAACTACCGTCGACAGGGTACAGTCAATTCGTAGAGGCCTGACGCTTGAGTACAGGTCTTATTTTGCCTCCAACATGGTAATTATCATAGCCAGCCACGCTCAAGGTCAGCACCTGGCCGGTAAGAAGGTTTACAAGGCTCAAACATAGTTTATGTCTATCTGATTTGTCTGCTAACTTTTTTTTGTGTACTTATCCTTTTCCTTTTTTTTTTTTTTTTTTTTTTTTTTTTGGTCATCATATTTTCCTTGTCATCAAAGCCACACGTCCAGCCATATGCATTTCGAACCTATTCCCAGGGCTCGCCGGCCCACGTATTGAATAAACAACGAAGAAATGAGGACGAGCTAGAGCAGTCTATAAATCGTCCACGAGTGTCATAGAGACCATCGCAGGTACTAGGGAACAATTTCCCTGCTGCAAAACGCCCACCAATTCCACTCCAGCAAAACCTGCACCCTTTCCATCGGAATAGGAACCAAGACGCACAATTCCACTGTAACCCACTGGTAGTCACTCCGGCTTTTGCACTGTAGACTTGGTGGCAATTTATTCATCCTCCGGGTCAGGTTCCTCACCCTGTATCTCCAAATCATCCGCCAGTTCCAGGGCCGTCTGAAGAAACTCTTTACTCCCAAATGGAGCATCTACCTCCTGGAACTCAGTTCCCTCGGTTTGATAGAATGAAAGATGACGGTGGGGACCAGTTGGATAGAGAGCGAGAGCTGGCCCATGCGACGTATCTAGGTACGGAGGTCCCACCCCCCAGTGCACCCTGCGAAAGAACGGAGATGTAAATGTGCAGGGTCGATTGAGAAACATGCAATGCTGACAAGAGCAGTACCTATTCTGAGCATTCGGGGGGATGGGCTGATATGTGAGTCTGCCCCTCATCGTGCGTGATGTCATATACATAGTAAAGTCGCACTTCTGAGGGATGTTTCCGCCACTTCTTGGTCCTTCCCAGTTCTCTGGCTTTCTGGCCCAAAACTCATCTGACTGCGGAGCGCTAGTTAGACACACGATTGTGTCTGATCCAGGTCCATCCAGATATTCATCAAGCATCTCGGCATTGTATTGAAAACTGGCCCTCTCCGGAATCGGTTCGATTCGGCCTTTTCGTTGGACCCAGCCTGCAGTTTGATGTAAATGGTTTGATTCAAGCATGAGCACGTCGGCCTTCCCAAATGAAACCGTAGCAGGGAAATCACCCGAGGGGTTGCTGTATGTGATACCTTCTAGAGCGCGGATGACATCGTTTGCATTGTGCCAAGGCTTGAGGGCAGCATATTCATCCTCAATATCTACCCCATTCGCGAATGTACCGCGGTACATCTTTTGCTGAATTGTCACTGATTGCCACTTCTTGGTTGATTCTTCAAACCATTCAAATCTAACGCCGAGTCGAGATGGTTGGTCGAAGTTTTTAAAAGTCCCGACACGTGGACATCTAATCCACGGTGTCTCGTGCGGCCTTCCATCATGCATAATCTCCCAGACAATATAGCCGGGGACTTTGACTCGGGAATATGTTCGATTGAATCTCTCCGATGTGGGAGAGAATGAATATACTGTTCCAACTCCGTCTCGCCGGAGCTCCATAGTCACAAAGTGACCCGAGTGCGTCCTATTTGGCCGGGCAACCGCAGCCCTTCGGTATGTTGTCCTCCCACGGTCCCCTGGGAACGCGGCGGGTGTTGATACGCCATAGACTGGTCTTGCCCCTAGACCCGAGATTGGCGAAAGGACATTGCAGCCTCGACCTCCGAGCTTGGGCCACGAACACGCCTGCCGAGCTTGTGTGGCGATCATGCGCTTGAGTATGTTGAGTTTCTGAGTTAAAGGGACAGTATCGGTATAGCCAAGGCCGTGAACGCAGTTAAACACAACAATAGCGGTTTCTTCAGCCATATCTATCAGTGTATTAGATACTGATGGGTCAAAGAGCATTATAGGGATCATGTGTCTATGCTGCTTTGGTGATGCCTTTGCACGGCTGTAATGCGGATGTCCTGGTGGTGATTGCTCTGTTGCAGTTCGATGCTCAACATCTCGCCCCTGTATTTGAAAGCTCTGCCCGGAGTACGCGGCGTAGTCCTCGATATCGCTATGCTCTGGGTCCAGGTGTGTGTATACTCGTAGGTAAATACACTTCGTTCCTCGAGGAGGCCATTCACCAGTCACCTTTGGTAGTTGTACCAGTGATGCTGCGGTAATTTTACCGTGCTCAATGGAACGCCTTACAGCCGTTGTAAATGACGAGGTGATTGCATTGATGTTGCTTTCAAAGTTTTTGTCCGAGAACATGGTGTTAAGTTTTGCCTCGGGAACAGCGAGCTGGTTGAGGGTAGACCATTGGGCTCGCATACCAGACCAGAACGATCTGATAAACCTTACCAGAGGAGTACCACCAGTCACAGTAGTAAATGGTTGAAGTTTGACCTCCTTTGACTCGTCGAGTCTTTGTTCTATTGTCTTGCTGAGAGCACCAGTCATAACGCGTTCAGTAGGAATAAGGACTGGATAATAAACAGTTAGTCGTTGCCCAAAAAGCTACATCTTCGAGGGAATGAACATACCATATAGCTTGAATTTACCACGCTTGAAGACCGCCTTGCACCATTTACCAGTTGAGTCTGTGGCCTGATGGTAGCCTTCGTTGCCCTTTTCAAACTGAACCACTCCCATTACTTTACACTCTTCGGGGATGCTGTATCGCATCTCAGCTTCCGTAACATACTCGGCAGTGTCATCATACTGCCATGCGCTGGTCACAACCAGGGCATGTGTCTGAGCATGACCAGGACGGGAATCTTGGGCTTGATGTGCCTGTCGAGCCGACGGGCCCTGATCAGGCGCAGCAGTGGGCCGGGTGGGCTGTTGTTGAGGTTGGGACTGGTGCTGTGGCTGCTGCACTGGAGGCTTCGAGACAGCTGATGGGGGACGCAACTGCTGCCCAGGAGGGGCTGTGGCTGTCGATCGAGTTGATGTTTGAGGTGGTTTAGGTGTAGAGCCCTGGGGACCAATAGACAGCCCTTGTGCGCCTGATGTGCTAGAATGCTGATGTGCTGGCTGCCTGGCACTGCTCGACGAGCCCTGCGAGTCTGTCGAGAGACGAGGAGCATGCCCTCGTACGGTGGGTGGTCTGAATGATGGGTTGGCACCAGCTGCTGGGCTCCAAGCGCCAACAGGAGCAGACACTTGATGCTGTGAACCTGCTGCGCCAGAATGCTGATGTGCCGGCTGCCTAGCACTGCTCGAAGAGCCCTGCGAGTCTGTCGAGAGACGAGGAGCATGCCCTCGTACGGTGGGTGGTCTGAATGATGGGTTGGCTCCCGCTGCTAGACTAACAGATCCAACCGATTGCAGGGCATAGAAACCACCTGATTGTCGACGAGCATCTCTTTGCTCGCCCGATGCAGTCCATGGTCTGGGCGCAGGAGGCGCATGACTTCCAGAACCAACGGACAGTGAAGCCGGACGTTGTACGGCAGGCGGCCTGGACGTTGGATTGGCACCAGGTGCTGGGCCATGAAAGCCAGCCGACTGTCGACGAGCATGCCCTTGCTCGCCTGATGTAGC